AAACTTTAGGGAAATTTCACTCTAGAGGATCCTTGGTGCTAGTCTGCTAGTATAAGGCTGCTGTTTCTGTTGGTTTACAAGGCACCAGTTTTGTTTTCCTTAGTTGTCTACTGCTGCTGATGAGCAGTTCTTTGCTTCAGGTATGGTGATTGAGTATGCTTTAGCATCAGGCTGCTGAGTTCCAAGTTTGCATAGTGCTATTCCTGGTATTGGGTTGATGAATTGGTGTTATTCCTCGTGTTTGCCTTGAATTGGTGCTATTGTGTTTGCTCAGCTTGCAGCAGCATTGGTTGAGTTGTTCAGCTTGCTGTTTCTTTCAGTCTGCTTCAGTGTGGCATTGGTTGGGTGTTTTGCTTCTTGGTTTGAATTGGTTGTTGGTCTGAATGGAGTTCATGGCAGGTGCTCATGCTGTTTCAGAGGGCTTCACAGGTGGCTTATTTGGTGGACTTGGTTGTAGGTGTGTCTATTCTATTCTTGTTGTTTGTAGTGGTGGTGTCTACCAGTTGTGTGATGGGGGTTGCCATCAGTCTGGGTCTTTTTTTTACTAAGGATTATGAGGAGGCCAAATCTGCCTTTTGTTTCTTGGCTGCTTAGGTTGTGATCTATTGGTCTACTAAGATCTGCTATGAGATGGAATCTGGTGTGACCTGCTGTTGGTGTGTTTGCTTGGCATCTGCTATTCTGTTCTTGGGTAGTTCAGCCTGCTATTCTTTCAGTCTACTTCAGTGTGGTATTGGTTGGGTTTTTGCTTCTTGGCTGTGATGAGTTTAGCCCTGTTTAAAGTTTCAATCTGCTTCAGTGGGGTTGCTTGCTCAGATGTGTGGTTTTGGTCTGTTTTTCTCTTTGTTTTCTTGTTGGTTTCTCACCAACTCTAGGAGTGCTAACAAATGATAGAATGAGTTTTTTGGTGCCAACCTAGTTAGAATGATTTAGCTCATTGTGATGCTTTGCACTTCCTTTTATTTATTGATGTATTTTGTTGTATACTTTGCGCTTGACTCTTACATCAATAAAGTTTCTTTTTTGCCGATCAAAAAAAAAAAATTTCTCTAAGATTCATTCATAATGAATCTATCACATTCAATGCATTGACACTATCTCCATTAGTCTTCCATACATTATGTATGTATAGGTGTATTCATCAATAATTAGTCACCATCTAATTAATGTACATGTATCTTGCTTAATAAGATGAATCTAGTATAATCATGCATAAACCACATTAACCCATATTTAGGAAAAATTCTTACAACATCAACTTTGTCACTCACAAAAAAGAGACTTTTTAGAAATTTCCCAAACACATTACAAAAGTCAATAAGGCAAAAAGCCACTAGAAATGCCAACCCCAAAGTAGGATAGGATAGGAAGCAAAATATAGTTCTTTCATTTCAACTAGTCACAACTCGGCCATTTTCTGTTCTTCATGTAGTTTCCCTTCACCCACAACATGTTGCAGCAGGTGTGTTGCTGATATCTTAAACTAAACAAAATAGATTTCAGAATTGTTTCGTTAAGTTTCAGCTACCTGCAAGGTAGAATCAGTAGCAGTAGCCAATGCAGTTGATTGCTCTCCTTTGCTCCACCTACAGGAAAACAGCCTCACTAATTATTTATGTTTATTTCTATTAAAGAAAGACATACGGCATACATGTAATTCAACCAAGATTTGAACCTCATCTTTGGAATGACAAGAGGTACTGATCAAGCTAAAAGCTGGTGGTTCACCAATTACTTAAAACACACACACACACACACACACACAAAAGAGTAAACAACACTGACCTCCTTGAGTTTTTGCATAATTGCAAGGACTTCTGTATAGTTTTAATAATTACACTAAACTCTCTTGCATGTGAAACCATTATCAAGATTTCCCCATTATTTTTATTTTATTTTTTTTAGCATCAACAAAGATTTCCCCATTACGAGTCATCCGTAACTATACATAACAAAAGTTGCTGATGTCAACTATGATTATTTTCAAATGCCAACATGTCCCCTCAGTTACCTCCAAACCATTTATATATTAAACACACCCACATCACAGCACCAACCAAGATAGCAAGTAGTGGTGTTCACGGACGATTTTTGTTTCAATTTTAAAGAGAACTAAGAATTTAGGAACCAAACTAAACTGTCTAACCTTTCTAACTGAACCAAAACCAACCTACAAAAAAATAGTTCAATTTCGGTTCAATTCTATGGTTCCAAGAAAATTCAATTCAATAAAAAATTTGTTTATACCTATATAAGTATCCCAAAAAATTGAGAAGCATACTTAAGAACTTAGCAATATTTCTCCAAACCAACTTTTATAAAATGTGTAAAAGGCACATCAAATTCTTCTTATTATATATTAAATACAACATATAAATGCAATTTTAAATAATATAAGATGTCACACCCCAAATCCGGGCATGACCAGCCGTGGCCCACAGGGACTCACCTAAGGCACACGTAAGCCTAAACATGAACCCAAAGTCACGAAGAATAAATGTGATGATAGCCCATAAATAAATAAATCAAAACTCAATCCAGTGACAAGTCACAAGTATAAATGGTAAAACCAACCACAAAGTATGCACAAAACCGGACATAACAAGCTAAAACAAAATAAATGAATGTCCTAGAGGTCCATGCAATCGAGTCCCCGCTATGCCATGAGTCCACTCTAAGCCCTTCTAACACCTAAAAATGGTAAACAACTAAGTCAGCTGATAGCTCAGTGAGTAGCAACATGGATAGTATATACAGTTTTGAAAACAGGGATCAATTCCAAAATCAGACATATATCACAGAAACTAGATTGGCATACAGTTTGGTAAAGAGAATCTATTTCAAAAAGAAGGTTTCACAGTTCAATAGTTAAAATACTCATGTCTCTCAAGAACATGATAAATGACATTTTCCACTTAAAACAGATTACAACATGAACACCAATAATTTTCTGGGTACCAAGAAATAACAAGTAACATGCCACACAATTCTCAAGGCTATAAACCCTGTTGGATCCAATACCGAACTAAGAGTCATCCTTAGGGTGGCAACTCGGGCCTTTTCTCTAAGACGATCCGATTGAAGGTCATCTAACCTAACCTAGGTCTTTTCCTTACAATTGTTGAGCACTAGAGTCATCACGGCCCAACCCGGATTTGTTCCTTAGTGGCCAGAGTCACCATACACAGTGGAATAATTTCCCTAGACTACCCAGATGCTCCCAATAATCAATACACATCAGTTTCGCAAAACATGGTAGTTCACCATTATAAACATGAGACTGTAACAAATAGTTTACAGTATGCCAAGTTTACACATGTTTCAGAAATAATTTAATTCTATTGATAATATAATAATTTATCAAAACAGTTTAGTCTTGAAACAATAATTTTATTTTCCAACAGTTCAAGGTAGGGAACACTTATAAAAATATGTAGCATGAAACTATTCACCTGGAAACGGAATAATGTAATCCTCAAATAGAGTATAAAAGTCCAACTAGTGCCCTGAACCAAGTATGAAAACTACACGTCACTACTAAATTAAAAATACTAAAGAATAGGAACTAAGTAACCTCAAACTAAAGCGCACTAACACGGCTCAACCCAACTCACCGTTGCTCTTAAATATTATCTAAGTTCATGTTCTTCAAGGTCTAAAATCACCCAAGACATGGGTTCAAATCGAAACTAAATTAAAAGTAACTTTAAAATAAAACAGAGTTTTAAAAATGTTTTCTCAATCTATTCGCTAACTTTGAAAATTAAAAACCCACTCTACGTTGTTTGAAAAATTCTAAAACCCTCCAGATATCAACTAATATATCCTAAGTTTCAAACCCAACTGGTTTCACTTGATTTTCTTATCAAAATAATTATCTATAATTAATTATATCTAAACAGGTTGTTTTCTGCAGCACTTTAAATAAATTAGTGGTTCTCTTAGCATACATGAGCAATCAATGCAAGGCCAAAAACGTATGAAACTAGACTCGTAATCAATTCTAATGACTCTGATTTGATAATTTTTGGATTTATACCCAAAGAGAACAACACTCCCGAACTTACTGTTTAAAACTAGTTTTCTGGACAGATTTAAACGCATCAGTTTATATGGATTTTAACTCCCAAAAATTATGAGAAAATTTAGATATGCAATTCAATATATAATTAATCTACTGTAAAAATTTCAATTCAAAATTTATTCGTTTGACATGGTTTCTTGATTTTTAAAGTTTGTGATTCTATACAGAATTTTTGGACTAAGAATTATACCATTCATTATACATGAATTTAACTCCTCAGGGATACGAATGTGGACACGAGACATAATGATTTCAAAAAAATAGGGACACGGCAATAAATATATTTTTATTTTCTATCTAGATAATATTACATCAAAAAACATTCAAAATTAACAAAAGTTAACTATAATTTTATATTTTTTTTAAAAAAAAAACTTTGAAATTAACGCTTGTCGTTTATGTCGTTTATATCTTTTTTGTGGATGATCTATTTAGTATTTTGTTAAGTGTTAGGGGTAGTTTGGTCTTTAGGGGTAGTTTCCATCATGCAAAATATTCGTGGCACGGGAAATAAGACTTAACAACTCTTAATGTATAAAAATATATTTCATATTGATATTAATGCATTCTTACACCAATAGTATACAAATAGTATGCAATAGTGGGTTCAATGAATTTGTATTATGAGATGAACTATTAAACAAAATTGTATAATTGTGTAATTAATTTCATACATTCAATTGTATTACAGATATGGATTATGAAAAATTGAAGTGGGAAGTTGATAGAAAAATATTTGTGTAACAATATATATTTAAAGAATTTGCTTATTGTTTATTGTTTAAGATAAGAATATGATCTCAACAATCCAACTGTAAATTAATATTTATATTTATTAAAATTTTCATTTATCATGCAAATTCTTCAGCCATGTAGGTATTCATTTCTTACTTAATTATTTTTTTATACAGATCAATTTATCTATACAAATCTTTAAACTTTGTATAAATATCAATTTAAGATACATGCATAATTAGAGTATTAACAATTGATAAAAAAAACTCACACGTGTAATGCAAATGTCCAAGTATAAAGTGTATACGTTTCATTTGCCAATGACTAGACACAAATTCTAGCTTCCACGGTAAGTTGAGAAAGAGAACAGTGAAAGCATTAAAGGAACACGAAAATGTTCCCACTTTTGCGACTTCCTAACTTGAAACACGATAGAGACAAAAGGAAAGAAACCGCCTGATGAATATTTTCCTGTATTGAAACTTATCCGGTATGTCCCCAGATTCAAAGCATCAACTATATTCATCAGCTGACCGCTTAGTCCGTCTTTGTTGGTGGTTGAAGACCCTTGAAACACCCAATTGCCTGTTTCATTCTCACCAAATGTTGGGCAAGCTTGATTGCATCTCCACATCTCTAATCGTACATCAATACCAGAAGTGGGAGACCTGCAAGCAAAGACATTAGTTGTGATGAGCGGGCGAGTCCTAACAGGAATTCCCAATGGTTTTGCCACAAGAGCCTCAAATGAAGCAGTTAGATGTGCTTCAATGATGCTGACACGATCTTCTACAAGTTAATACTGAACGTCACATTCTGTAATATACATATGTAATTCATATAACACATAACAATATCTTACATGAACTCGGATACAGATGTCGTGTACTCGTGCGCACTTAGAAGTCGGACCCATCAAACTTTAAATTTAAGGGTACACAGACTTAATAAAAAAAAAAAAGAAGTCATATTTTTATATGAGATAAAATAGTGTCACATTTTACTTACTTTATAGCAATTAAATGGTTAAAAAAGTGTCTGATGGAAAGTATCAAACATATATCCCACACCTTGTCAATATTTAATTTATTTTGAAGAGTTCATGTAACTTAGTGTGCAACACTACCTCCAGCTTTTGTTGCAACATCTTGAGCATGCACTCTCTAGTTTAGTCAAAAAAAGCTTGGCAAGACGTTGTTCAGTAATTTTCATTTCCTCTGGGGTTGCAATCTCAAACTCAACCAGAGGCTTGATTTGGTAATGCCTCTACAAGCAAGCAAAAAAAAAAAAAAAAAAAAAGCGTCTCCATCAGCCTGCAAACTTGAGCCAGCCATTTGAATATCGTTGTTTCAAGAGAACTAGTAAATAGAAAATGAAGAAAAAAGTAACATCAGGTGTATTCAATTTAAGAAATACATGCAGAGTTTGTAAGATTTGTTTTCATGCATATCACAATGAATGATGCAAATTTTTTTTCTTATTTTTAACTTTCTCAATTTATTGGTACACTGCTACAACATCCGAAAGTAATTAAATTTTAAATTCATTTCTTATTTTTAAGTGTCTCAATTTATTGGTACACAGCTGGAAGATCCCAGAGTAATTAATTTGTTGCCAATCAAATAGGTTAAGACCAATGGGTTATGAAAGAGTGCTTTTTACATATTGCTATTTTTTCCTAATGGATAATTTTAAACCAAGGAGCTGTGCTATCAAATTTTAAAAAAAAAAACAATTGAAACACCAAATATATTGGAGGCGTAAGAGATTCATGACATATGCACTTTTGACGAACTCTGAAAAGATAATATTATCATCAAATACTATATCCTCAATAGGTGGTTCTGTTTTGCAGAAAAGAAAGTATTATTTAGGCTGCAAGAATCCCAGATTCATTGAGGAAAAAGCAAATGGCAAAGGAAATAGAATTACTTATACATGCTCATCTTATATATGTAACTAAACAAAAAACAGATTTTTTCAACAAATATATATTTATTTTCTTCTCTTTTTCTAACCTAACCAAGAAAGGGGAGGAAAAAAAAATTAGCTTCTACTTCATTTTCTTTTCTTCTTTTCCCATTCCTTTATTTTTCCTCTACAAATCCAGGATCCAATCACAACCTTAGTGTTTTCCCCTCAATAAACAATTTTGTTCTCCAAAAGCATGCACGGCAATGCTCATAGCATTCAGGGAAGAAATCTATATATTTTATAATCATGTGGGCTTGAAGAAGCAATTGACCATAAAGACTTTACCTTCAACTCAGCAAGTATTTCAGGGTACACAAACTAGAGGCACATATAAGAAAACAAATCCAAACTTCTGCTGATATCGACTATTCCAATCAGATAGTTTCGGCATGGACAAGGTGAATCATGTTTCGACGAATGCAGGGAATGATGGTTTCAGAAATAGACAATCATTTCAAACTTCTATCCAATCCAACTAGTTCAAGTTATGTACCCACAAAAACAAAAAGGCCTTCAAATTAGATGAGGATTTTTATGCATGCGCACATGTCATAGGAATAAAGATAAACATCTAGTCTGCATCATATTTGATTAAGGGGGTGTTTGAAATGTGCTAAATAAGCCAACTGTTAGGCTTAAAAAAAAGGGCAAAAAGGCAAAAAGCTTGTTCGTCATCAACAACTAAAATTGGCAAATGTTACATCACAAAAAAGAGACTTTTTAGTAAATTCCCAATTACATTAGCTTTTTTTCGTTTCTCAAAAAGCCAATAGGTCAAAAAGCAACTAGAAAAGCCAATCCCACAGTACGATAGCTGCAATAACATAGGAAGTAAAATATAATTATTTCAATTTTCAACTGGTCACAACCCGGCCATTTTTTGTTCTCCATGTAGTTTTGCTTCACCCACCATGTGTTGTAGCAGGTGGCTTGTTGATATCTTACACAAAACAAAATAGATTAGAATTGTTTCATTAAGTTTCAGCTACCTGCAAGGTAGAATCAGTAGCAGTAGCCAAAGTAGTTGATTACTCTCCTTTGCTTAACCTACAGCAAAACAGCCTCACTAAAATTATTTGTGTTTATTTCTATTAAAGAAAGACATATGCATCATACCAAGATTTGAACCTCGTCTTTGGAACAACAAGAGGTACTGATCATGCTAAAAGATCTTGACCAATTACTTAAAATACACACACACAAAAAGGGGGGGGGTAAATAACACTAACCTCCCCTGAGGTTTTGCATAATTGCAAGGTCCTCCCATGTAGTTTTAATAATTACACTGAACTCTCTTGCTTTTGAAAGTATTATCAAGATTACCCCATTGATAGCCATCCACACTACACATAACAAAAGTTGCCAGTGTCATCTATGATTATTTTCAAAATTCAAGCATGACCCCATAGTTGCCTCAAAACCACTTGCATATTAAACACACCCAAAGCCCAGCACCAACCAAGACACCAAGTAGTGGTGTTCACGGAACATTTTGGTTTGATTTTAAGCAAAATTAAGAAATTTGAAGAACCAAATCGAACCGTATAACCTTTGAAACCGAACCAAAACCAAATCACAAAAAATATTTGAACTAGCTGACTTTGCGAACATTTTAAATTGTAAGGTGAGTTCGTTACCTCTCTCTTATCTTGGCCTGCCATATAGGGCAAATCCTAGTAGAAAGAAAACGTGGAAACCAGTTCTTGACAAAGTTAAAGCAAGGTTAGCTGGATGGAAAAGAAGACTACTGTCATTTGCAGGCCGTTTGACATTGATTAAATCGGTTCTCTCTTGCTTATCGGTATATTATTTGTCTTTGTTTAGAATGTCTGAGGGTGTGGCTAAGGATATTGAGAGAATTCAAGCAACTTTTTTATGGGGAGGGTCGGATCTTATGAGGAAGGTACATTTAGTTAAGTGAGAGAAGGTGACCAAAAGTATGGGGCATGGAGGTTTGGGCATTAGGAGGAGTAGAGTGGCAAATTCTTGTTTATTATTTAAATGGTGGTGGAGGTTTGCTGGTGAGACAAAGGTGTTGTGGAGAAGAGTAATATGTAGTAAATATAACTAGGAGGAGCATAGTTGGTTGCCTCCTTGTGTAACTAGCAGTAGGTTATCAAGAGTCTGGTCTGATACAATTTCAGTGGCTAATTTCCATCCAAATATGCTGGTGTGTTTTCGTTCTAATTTTAAAATAATAGTGGGTGATAGGAGTAGGGTAAGGTTTTGGGAGGATAAGTGGTGTGGTTCTGTATGTTTGAAAGATGATTTTCCTAGATTATTTAGTTTGTCTAGGGAGAAAAAGGAGCCGTCAGTTTGTTTGTTAATCTAAAGGAGGCTTCAGGGGAGTGGAATATATTACCAAGAAGGGAGTTTTTTTAATGGAAAAGAGTTGAAATGTTGAGGTCTGTCTCTGTTCTTCAACCTGGCCCTGCAGTTAGCTTGGGGAGAGTAGATTACCCACGGTGGTCAGCCAATTCCACAGGTGTGTTTTCTGTATCATCATTGTACAGTTCTGTCACTGTAGGGGTGTGTTCTGGATCTAGACCTAGTAAGTTGCTCTGGAACAATGGATTACCTCCTAAAGTGAAATTCTTTGGGTGGCTTGCATGGAAACATAGGATTAAAGTTGTCGTTTTCTTACGTAGGATTGGGATTCTTGCTGTAGGTGCTTCTTCCTTGCATTGTTTCTGTAAAACTAAGGAGGAATCAGTTCTTCATGTGCTGCTGCACTGCTCTTTTGTGTGGAAGGTCTAGTCAACTTTATTAGCGTGGTGAGGGCTAAAGTGGGTCATACCTGGTTCTGCTGCTAATCTGCTGAGTTGATAAGAGGGTGGGACGTTTTTGAAAAATGAAAAGAAGATTTGGAGGTCTGTCCCTCTTGTGGCCCTATGGTCTATATGGAAGCTTCGGAATAAGTGTACATTTAATGGTGCTATTGCAGATATTGGGGACCTTTCTGATTTGATTAAAGCTAGGGTGGCTATTTGGCAGCTTTCATCATCAAAGGGGTGGAATTACTCCTTTAGTGATTTTATGTATAATCTTAATCGGGTTCGATTTTGTTGGTAACTTGGGGCTGTCTTGTTCTGTTTGCACTGGATTGGGTTAAATTGTTGGTTTTTGCAGAACAGGAGCTTTGCTTTGGCTCAGTTCTTGGTTCCTAATGTTGTGTTGTTGCAGAGAAGCTGGGGTGATGCTGGGTTGCTGTTAGGTTGCAGGTGTTGATGTTGTTGCTCTGATGTCAGGTGTTGATGTTGTTGCTCTGATGCTGTAGGTGTTGATGTTGTTACTGAGGCTGGGTGGCTGTTTCCTGTCTTTGGCTTTTGTGGTTAATTGGTGTTTGTACTGTTGTGTTCGTTTGTTCGTTTTGCTTGTTTTATTCTGCTCTGTGTGTTGGTTGCTCACCAACTTGGAGCTTGGAGTGTGTACTAGCAGATGATTTGGTGTGCATCTTGGTGCCAACCTGGTTGGGATCTTGACGTTTCACTGTGATGTTGTTTGCTCCCTCTGCTTTATTGATGTTCTGTAGCATCTTTGTATGTTTTCCATCAATAAGACTTCTTTTTGCTAATCAAAAAATATATATATATATATATATATAAAATAAGTGTAAAATCTTAGGAAATTAATATATAAGCCTATTTTTTAAACTCATTTTCTAAACTCAATGATGTGTCAATAAGATGATTGG